ATGACGAGCCAGATGAGACAGAAGAATGCCAACACGTATGCTCGCATAGTGTACTGCGTAGACCTTACATCCTGCCTTGTATATATTTCGTACTCATCGTGGTAACTAAAAAATTGAACTCGAGAATAATGAAAACAGCAATAAACAAGAGGGCTTCGTACACCCAACGATCGACAGTATAATTTTCTTGATAAGAATATTCCCCCACGCGCCGGTAAAAGACTCGATTAATTTTCCATAATTAGACGGCTCCTTTTTCCAATTTCTCCAAAGCACTGGCAGCAGCTCATCGCCACTCAATCAGCCCACCCCCTGGCAAAATCCTTTGCACGAGCTCCGGCGCGGTATACATCGGTATAGTTGTACACACTCCTGTCAGTCATTGCAAAGGATGTTTACAGAGCCGCAGCGGCGTACAGCTGCTTGCACGCGGTCGCCCCCAAGTTCCCGTGGACTTTAATCCACACCGCCACTGCCGTCAAGAGTACACACGTACATATATACATACACGTGTACGGATGGCTTTGGAAAGAGAGTGGGGGGGTCGCGGCGCTCCAGGTGTCACTGGCAGGGAATCGAGTTCATTCCGCGAGTTGCAATCTCCTCCCCCTCTCGCGAGACTCTGCTTGATCGCTGAGCTCTCTTGCCACGCAAAACTTTGAAACGAATAGGGGAGCGAACGAGACGCGAGTTTCTGGCCACTGCGGATGTAAAAATTCTCGTTCTTACTTTATTTCTCAATTTTTGTTTAAAAAATGCACCATTCGCAGGTCAAGGTTGTGCGTCGATGCGGGGGTCGTGAAATATACTTAACCGATCGACGTGCGATGGAAAAAGAAAAAGGGCTTAATCGCCGCCCAAAGTTGCACAGGAGGGGGGGGGGGAGAAAAACTTGCCGGTGCTTGCGGATCTGATTTGTTTGTCGAATTAAGCGCCCCTCCAGAGTTTTCCTGGGCGTTATGAACTTGAGAGGGGCAAACTTTTCTCCGCATTCAACCCCCCCCCCCGTCTGTGTACCTTCTTTGTTTTAAAGTTCGCAAAAAGTGCTCTTTTCCGCAGGAACGAGCGATCGGTGTATCGACGGGTGGCCGCAGGCGTGGGCGTATCTACGGGGGTGGGAGGGGTGCATTTACCGCGGTACTACTGGATCGTTGCGGACGTGAATTTTAAGCGCGAATTATGCTGATGAGCCCAATACTGTTTTCGAAGCTATACGAACGAAGCGACTGGGGGAGGGAGATCGACCCCTGTGGGTGATGCAGATGAAAAAAAAGGCAGTACTGCGGCTATGTTAATGAACGAGTGAGTTACTTTTTTGCCCAAATGAAAAACAGCGACCCCCTACAATCGATACATCGAGCAACAACTGTGGACGCGAACAAAGAGCGCGTGAACGAATTAAAAATTATCTCGCATACGCATCTCTTTTGAAAGAAAGAAAAAAAAAAAAAAAAAAAAAAGATTCCGCTCGCGAGTATGTAGGTAAGACGGGCAAGATAAAAAAGGCTGCAGCGGTGGCTAAAAGTTTTCCCGCGCGCGAGAAATATAGAGCGGGCACACCCACACATACACAGTAGCGAAGAAGAAAAGCGCCAAAGAGTATTGAAGTTCCAGCGGCCTTCGAGATAATCTGGCTTAATTAATCTAACTCCGGGCGCGGAAGAAAACTCTCTTTTCCCTTTGGTATTGGGTTAGCTTTTTTTTTTCCTCCCCCCGAGCGTTCTTTTGACAAGTTGGTCGGCTCTCAAAGCTGGCGTGAAAGAGGAAAATTCTCCGCGGCTTGTTACAACCGGCGCGCTAGTTTTTTTTTTTTTTTTTTTTTTTTCCTCTCTTCTCGGTCAGGCGCGCGCTGGGGTGAAAAAGAGTTTCTGAATTACGGGACGATGATATTATTTTCCCTCTCCTCCACCCCGTTCCTTTGAAATCCCGGAAAAATTGCATTCCTCCCTTTTTTTTTCACTCACATAGAAACAGTTCTTATCTTTCTCGCGATTCGAGTGCAATTCAACAGAAGCGACATCACCGTCACCGTTGCGAGCGGCATTTATAAACTAGTCGGAAGGAGTTTCGGTGAAGCGCCAAAGATTTGTTAAAAGCACCGATAACGCGAGCGAGTCAAGGAAACACGTCGCCGGGGACTCTATATCACTGGCCCCCGTCCCCCTTTGGCGCTACTTACATATGCTCGGGAGGAAACAAAAGAAATAAAAATGCGTCTTGTCGGGGGCAGCGGGAGATAAGGGGAAACGAGCAAAGTCGCGAGACACTTGCCTCGAAAGTTCACGGCCAACTCTGCACCACCTATATATATGTGTGCCCTCTATACCATAAGCCGCTTCCCCCCCCCCTTCCGACTGATAAATGCGTCAGCCGTGCTCTTTCTCTCTCTCGAAGGGGCGGAGGATTATAAAGCCGCGCTTCTTTTTTCCCCCTCGCAAATTACTTTTTAATCTCGTTCAACTCGGGATATATATTCGGGCCAATTATCGCCGTGTATAGGCGAGGCCAAAAATTACCGCCTCAAATTAGTTTACGCGCATTTTTCGCGCCCCGGGTGCATACACGGGGCGATAAAAGCATCCCGTAATCGTGACAAACGTCGCTCCGGCGAATTGCGCAACCCAAGCTTAATACGACCCTCCGCTCTATATCCTATATATATATATATATATATACGTGATCAACGAACCGAGAGATGTTCCCCGAGAGAGGGGGCGTCGTAATTAACAGATCCAATTTTAATCGGCAGTACCCGATCCGCTTGTTCCGCGTATTCTCGCCCACTCGGGCCAACTTTTACACCAAACCCGTAAAAGAGAGAGGCAGAGTAGCATCGCCGAATCGGGACATTAAACTGATTACCGTACGCTACTACTGCTTTGCAAACTAATTATCCATAGTGTAGGCACACTACGTTGGCTGATGATGCCCCAAATTTCGTTCTTTCACCCCTTGTCTCTTTACCCACAGAGATATACATACGTTGCATTTACTCGAGGGAAAGAGAGTACTTTGTGATTTTTTTTTTTTTTTTTTTTGGTGGTCGAGTCGAGGGATTAAACTCGAGATGGAAGGGAGTGGGAGAAAAAAAAAGCGAGGCCGAGATAATGCGCGGACAATTGGCAAGTTCCGGTGCGTGCGCGGAAATTTTCCACCAACGCCCAGACGCTGTGCAGGACGAAAGCTCGGAGCTTAAAAGCGCCCCTGGAATGAAATTGCGCTTTTTTCTATTTCCTCTCTCTCTCTCTCTCTCTCTCTGCGTTTCGTTTTATTGAAATAATTGCTCTGCGAGTTTCGTGACGAGCGACATAGCGTCAAATGTTACGGAATTATCGCTTGTTTCCGTTTTAGAGGACCGAAGGATGAATATCACCCATTACGTAGCCATTTTTTTTTTTAACAAAGCAGCGCAACTCATTTTCACTGGGTGGGTACTTTTGAAGAATTTTCATCCCAAAAGCTTTTATTTACCAAATGAATTTTAGGACGCGACGAGCTTAAAAATGTAGTGCCTACATGCTCTCGGTGAAATGACCAACACCATGAAAGTAGTCAAAGTCGCGATTTATCCGTACCACCCATCAACTCGACGACTGTACGACACGTTGGCAATTTTTTGTCCCCCCTCCAGCTCCCCTTAATCTCCGTCGCGTACACTTTGTCCCGTTCTCCTTCCGCGAGCGTACATATACAAGTCCCGTCGCGCCCGTGGTATACCGTAAACTTTGGATCCACCACTCCACTAATCCATCTCGTAGGTACACCAAGAGCCACGCGTGTATAAACTTTTCACGAGCAAAGTCGCGCTGGGACGTCACTGTTTACGCGCAACCCCTCTCGAAACACCCGTAAGTATACACGCGGGTTATCGCACTGTTTTACACCTCGTGTCGTTTTTCTTTTCTTTTTTTTACACGCGCGCTCGTTCGCATCTCCCACGGCCTATCGTCAACGTCGATTTTATATAAAACCCAGCTACAAGAGCCAGATCGTCACCGCCCTTACGACCCTTATACGCAACACCTGCCGTTATGTACTCTAAAGAGCATTGAATCCAAACACCAGGTGTACCGAAAAGTCCATCATAATTATTCACGACTTTATACGCACCCTCGCGAGAACAAAAGGACTTTCGTCCTTACGGGGAAGTATAATCAGGAGACGCGCTCGTTTCGCGCCAATAAGCTGTATACCTACGTAAGACAATGGTGAAATTCGTCAAACGAGTGCCATCTGCGTCGTCGTCCCGGTGCATCGCGCGGAATCCCAGCTCGCGGGTATAAATCCATTGATGCCGAGCCAAAGGAGGGAAAGAGTGTACGGGAAGAAGCGTCGAAAAAGCGAAAAGGAGCGCGCCCCATCGGGGACGAAAATCTCCTCTCACTCGTCTTCGCCACAGAGCGCGCAAATTCTCGTACTACAAGAGGGTGGGGGGGGGGGGGCTGGAGGGCTTCCAAGGTTTTCCATCGGAGACTAGTTTTCGTTCGGCGAAGCGCGTGCCTTTGCTCCCGTGTATCATATATATACAAAAGTCTGTGAAAGGTTGGCCCTTTGAAAGGGACCGATGAAATCCGCGTCGGCGTGTATATACCTCGTGAAAGAAGAAGCAAACGGCGCAAGGGGGACTGGCAAGGGAATTCAGCGGCGTAATCGCGATAATTGCCACCCCGCCAGGTGTGGGTGAACGGAGGAATTCAAACTTTTTGTCGAGAGACTACTGCTTGTGTGTATATACATGTATAAAGTATACATCGTACACGCGAATGGAAGGAATTCAATTTCGCGCTCCGAAGGCCTTCCGGTTTATTAACTCCACTGATTTACGCTCCTCAAGTTTCTTTTGAAAGAGCCTAGGGGGTGAGACGCGCGTTTTATGCACCTATAAATACAGCCCCTCCTACACACACTTTTCTTTTGAGCCAGCGATTGCGCTCGGGTCTTAAATCCACCACGGAAATTCCAATCGACGCGGGAAAAATATAAACCATGCGATCTTTCAGGGGTCGAGCGGTGCGGGTGGCGGGAACGACGGCCTCACGAAGCAGCAGCTCGAGCTCATCCAGCAGATAATGCAGCAAACGCAGCAGCACCAACAGCAGGTGCAGAGCCAGTCGTCCCTGCAGCAGACGCAACCGCAACAAGCGACGATCGTGGGGTCGAAGACGGGCGCGAAGCCGATCATCAAGTCGACCACGACCATCTCCGGGCCCGTGATCACTGCCGTCGCTGCGAGCGTCGCTGCTAACGCGAGGACGAGTCCCAAGCCCAAGGTCTGGAACATCACGCAGGTTGGTTTCTTTCATTTTTTTTTTTTTTTTTTTTTTTTCTTCAATCGTGTAACATGTAGCGATGTGAGCTTCGGACTGTCTGGAAATGTCCCCCAAGGGGAGCACGAATCGGTGACCTTTTAGCGCGTGATGGTGCGAGCTAGATTTTTCTTTTGACGGAGGAAGACGCTGCTGATAGCGCACGAGAGCCGAGAGACAACGTTATCGCCACGACGACTTTGGAGAGGAGAAGGAGGAGTGCCATCGAGGGACCAAAGTTACAAGGAGTCCCTTTTCCCTCCGTCTTTTGGCTTTCTCTCGCTCTGCCCCCCCTCCCGAGAAGAGACACACGCGTATCTCTTTTGCTACGAAGAAGCCGAAAGAGATATACGTACACCGACTGATGCTTTTCGCTTTCATCATACCTGATTACTTGCTCTTCGCACTCGAGTGTGTTATCGGACCGGGCTTTCAAAGAGATTCACCCCCCGTGTACGACGCACTTTTCTCTCTTTAAAAAGTTTATCGATGACCCACCTCCCCACTTTTTATCTCTTTTACTATCTTTTAATTAAATTCAGAACTCTGGAGGTTTTTTTTTTTTTTGTTTTTTTTTGTTCATTTGAGGTGCAGTCAGGATGCTCTTGTTGATACATATTAGTGGAAAAAGTTGACTCTCATCCCTGCGATCGGATGATTGTTTGCGGAAAAGAATATCCGTGCTATTATGGAAGATTTTTTGGGTGATTCATATATTAAATTATCTGATGTTTTTCAGAAAAGTACATGATTTAGCTCCATTCACCCAATAAATATCTCCAACAAATCACAAACATTTTTTTACAATTTTTATTTATTCGAGGCGACATTCAAAAAATTATTACTTTCTGTTGAGCGATTTAGATATAAGTGTAAAATATAGAAAATATATTAGCAAAATCAAATGATTAGCTTGCTTGGAGATGATAATTAATTTTTTCTCAGCGTCATTCTTAGTAATGATTGGGTATAATGTCATGATGGCTATAAAATCTTCAGGAAGTATAAAAATAATGTTAAATATAAAAAAGATATTCAAGTAGGCTATTGGTTTATACGAATGACGTGAGCCAAAACTTTGAGAACGGGACGGTAAAGTCGATAAAATCCGCTTATTTACCTTCGTTGTAGCGAAATCAATGGAACAAAAAAAAAAAAAGAAATGAAGAGAAAAACATACGAGGAACTCAAAACTGGGGATCGATGCGTCCGACCCCTCATCCCCCTTCCAGCAAATCCAACTCTGACGTCGGTTGGCTCCCTCACGTAGGAGATTATAAAATCGCAGCAAAGGGGCACAAACCCCTCGGCCTTTTCACTCCCGTCAAGGATTACGTACAGTACGAACTGGTCGAGAGAGCGATGCGGTCAGCTAATTGACCTCCTTCCTCCTACTTTCGACTCTCATCTCCCAATTAAATTTCCCAATCGGAAATCACGATTGCCCCACTCGTAAACATATAAGTACATCCCCCAGCAAAAGATATAAATGATGTTTACCTCGTTTCTACGAAAAAGAATCAAGTGAGCATCCAAACCACGACTTGACTATATTTTTAAGGCGACAGGTACCTCTTGGTTACAAATTCATCCCCCTATATAGCTTTAATAATTCCACAAAATTCCTGCCGACATATAAGTATATACATCCTCCCAGCTTTCTCTCTCTCGCTCTCTTTCCATTTTTTCCACTCCCGGCCCTCCTGACTCTTTACATCGTCGGGCGCCCCCGCCCCCGTCCTTCTGCACCTAACTTCATTACGTTAATGGCATAATAACCACTGCGGCTGGCGGAGAGCTTATGCACCGAAACGCCGATGTTCCCCAAACAGAGCGAGAGCGCATGTACGTGTACTTACCCTACACATCGAGCATAACCGAGAGAAAGACCATCACCTGTACACGCGTGTGTCTGTATACGTATACTCGGCACTGGTCGTTGTAGTTGTGTGATCGATCCGGCGCGCATTAATATGTATGAGATCTTCCAACAGCAACAGCGGGCCCCGGGCTTCGAGGGGGATGCTGTGTATAGCGGTGGTAGTACCGCCGTGTGTGTATAGCAGAGTTCCCTCGAGAAACTCGACACGCTAACGCTGCCCCACTCCCCTTCCTCCCTATACCTACCAAGTACCTACTCCGGAGAATCATCACGCGATTGCTCAGCTACACCTATACATATATACACACGATGTCTCTCTCTCCCTCACTTCTTTTTTTTTTTTTTTTTTTTTTTTTTCTTCTCCCTCCGTGTGTGTGTGAATTCACGCGCTGGATTTTACGCGCGAATCGTCGCTCTCTTTACCGATGATGTTTTTTTACTTTCCTCCTCGTGCGTACAACCTTATCGTTATTCTCTCGACGCCAGATCGTTCTTCGCTTCTTGATTTTCCATCCCCTCCCCCCACCCCCTATCCCTCTCCTTCGGGGTTTTTGCACGTAAGCCCACAATGGGCGTCTGAATCAATTAGTTTTTTTTTTTTTTTTTTTCCGAAAAGAAAATTAAAAAAAGGGTGTCCGAGAATATTGGAAAATATCCGCGCTGGAATTTCGTGGGAAGGTATGACAAAGGGGCGCTTTGATCGATGCTAAAGTAATTATGGAAGGAGGAGGATGAGTGGAGGCTCGAGACCAGGGGTTAAAAGTAACCGATGCAGAGCCTTTCATCGGAGGCAAGGAGCTATCTCTCTCTCTCTTTGTTGTCTATGATTATGAAGCCGATCGGCTAGCTGTGCATACACTTGGCAGGCGATAAAATTGATTATGTTGGCGCGACGTAACAAGCGCTAGCGCCTTTGAGAGCCATCATGAGTATTGACACTTGGATGTTTATGCAATAATGTTGGTGAACTCGAGATCAAACTCTCTTTGGTCGTTTCACTCGACTCGTTGTTTATTTTAAAAGTCTCGTTGCTTTTTTCATCGGGATTTATATCCAAGGTAAACTACCGGCGTTTGGTTAATTTTCAATTCATTTCAAGGCTTGTTTGTTTCTCCCGTTGAAAGATGCAAGCTATAAAATCAATGAGTAAATACTCCCCGCCGATTGAACCAAATTGCCGCATGAAATTCGAGTAGCGTATAAATAGTCCCTCATTTTCGGAAAGAGCTTTCCTACATGAACGAGCCTCCATAATGTACTCCATAACAACTTACGAATCAATCGTATTACGCAATCAAGCCAACGCCGAGCTCTCATAAACGTTTAGATTAATCTCGCGGCTCTACAGTGTTTGCTCATGTACAAAACGCGTGAATTTCACATCACCTGCAATAACGCGCGAGTTTTGAAGAAACCAATGCACAGCAGCAATACATCCCGTTTGAGCAAACTCACATCGTTGCCACAACTCGCGTGTATTTTGTATACACCCGTGCCGTGTAAATACACGTTTGATCCTCGATTTTGCGGCTGCGGCGGAGGAAAACGAGCGAGGAATATACACGTACCTTTTATAACTATATGTAATGTGTATGCACATATGTGTATGATCGACCCCCGATACCACGCGAATATTGAATTTCATCTGACCGCAAGCTCGCCGGATGTTTCCGAGCAACTGGATCGGCTCTAGCAATACACTATACACTTGTAATTGGTGAAAAAAACACCCTGCTTATTCGACTTTTTCTTTCTTTTTTTGTTCTCATGTATACTCCATGGAAACATATCAAACTCGCGCGAGACGCTGTAAATTAATTTCGCAAATTTCCTCGCAAGGATTTGCGAAATCCCGAAGCTCGAGTTCGTATAACCATCGGAAAGGAGAAAACCCCGCTCAAAGGGTTCGGAAAGGGCACGTGAAATAACGATAATAATCAACGTTTCGGCACATTAAGGTGAAATTTCAGTTAGCGAGCGTCAAGCTGCACGTGTATACGAGCGGGAGGGGAAAACTTCATTGACAGATAAACGCTATTACGCAGAAGTACCCATACATACGCAGGAGGAAAGGGGACGTTCCGAAACTCGTTTACCGAGCTATTACATTTACGAGCTTGCGTGCGCCGTCGTCTCTTGGATTTAATACGCTGTATTGCCACGCAGTCTGACGGCAAAGCGCCGACTTCTTACCGAACCGTTTCATCGGTTTGCGTTTCAGTGTAGATGGTAAAATGGTACCTGTGCTCGATTGATGCTAAAAAAAGGGGGGTATTTGATTTTAGCGTGGATAAATTGCTGGCGAGTGCGCGGTAGGAAAAAGCTTTCTGTCATCGAAGGGTAAGTGTAACGGGGGATGAAAAAACAAAAAAAAAAAAAAAAAAAAAAAAACGTGTTCGCGGGGTGCGGGGAAAAGTTTGGCATTGATATTTATGCGAGCTAGCTCTCAAACTTTCGGCGACCAAATTAAATGGGAAAGTGTGCACCTCTGGTCTGGATGTGTTGGGCGCGAGGGGGGCCGATGTGGTATGGCTGCGCGAAAACTGGCACGAACTCGCGGGCAACTTTAATAAATCAAGCGTTGCCCGGGAATTATTTATTATACGCGGGCCGCGCTTCTCGTGTACCCCTCTTTTTTTTTTTTTCTCTCGGGCAAACTCTGCGGGTGCAGCGCGTAAACGCGTTCTCCCTTCGTATCAATCCGCGCCAATATTACGCTGTTCGAATGTTTGATTAGTTCGTGCTTGTATTTATTGGGAGGGACGGAGATTTTCAGTGAAAATCCAAATTTAAAACGCCCCACATGCAAAATGTAATCGTATGCCCATCTATATAGGTACGATCTCCTATTACTTATGAATCGATACATTTTCCGTAAAAAAAAACAAGTATCCTTCGGTTTTTTGTTATTTATTGAACCTATACTTAGGGTGCATCACCTTTTCAACGCGACAAAACAGATAAGGGTTGTAATGAACGATCATTTTTCGCCCCCTGTGGATAATCCCACTATCAGCAAAAGGGTCGTCGGAAAATAATTTACCCATATAATTTCCGCACCTCCGAGTCGTCTCCCTCGAGGCAAAGGTTT